ATGTTCCTTTTATGAATTTTAATCCCTGAAACAAAATATTTTTTATTCTCAGTTGGACTAAAAGAATTACCGTATGACATTGTATGGCCAATGATCCAGAGATGGTTAACACAAGTGAAAGAAAAACGAATCGAAACATCTGAAAGATGGAAGAAGGTGGTTAAAAGTAAAGATTGGAGAAGAAGGAAGAAGACGTACTACAAAATGAAAAACAGTGTATCAGTATGTTGACCTTGTTCTTTCTTCTTTGTGGGGGTGAAAAAAGAGAAGAGAGAGAAATGATGAGTGTGTATTGTTGAATGAAATGAAATCGTTTATTATCAAAGAGACATTCCATTTATCAATTCGTAATTCGATGCCATAGTTTATTTTATTTAATGTAAACTTCCGGAAGATTCTTTCGATTCTCACGATGGAAAATGAGTCATTGTATGACTTCACAGAAAATCGAAGGAACAACTCGAAACGAGGAGAAAATATTGTCTTCTGGAAAATATATCCTATGAGCAGGGCTGTCAAATCGGACCGCGGCCGTTTTTATGTCTCGCTTTCTAGTGCTGGGATCATTTCGATGCAATAGACGGAGTTGTAGTTCACAAAAAGTTAAATATTTCGGTAAAAAGACGGCCCGGAATTTGTTATCCACGGCCGGCCGCGGCCCACGGCCTTTTGCTATAAGTAGGCCGCGGATAACGCGATCGGGTCGTCATATTGCTAAAATGCACAACTCTTTGTGCTCTCCATGGCCGCATCTTGCATGGAAAAGAACCAATCGCTAGGAAGCGAGATATAAAAACAGCAGCGACCGAAAAAGACCGCATTTGACAGCCCCGGCGGACCGTCAGGTTTCGAAATGTCAGGTTCTGAAACGCCCAGTTTCGAAAGGTCTAGTTGCAAATTTCCTCCCCCCTCCCCCCCTACCTTTTTTTTGTGCCTGGCCACCTTTGAAAAAAAACTCTGCCTTTCAATATAAACGTGTCCGTTTTCAAAGCCTAGCCTCCTATCGATAAAATCTCGGGTCACAAAAAAACAGTTTCTTTTGTCTCCACATTTTTCCAAAATTTATTCACAAATCTCTGAAAAATCCATCACCGTAAGTTTCCAATCATCTTATCAATTGACACTACTATACATTTTCAGTTGAATCAGATATGGCGAATCCTACTACCCCAGAAGAATCGAAGCCAAAAAACGACTTCAAATTGGAGTTAACCCCACTAAAATCAGTTATAAATCCAGACGTCCCATTGTCAATGAAACTTAAAAATGTGACCGAAAAAACACAGGCAGTCGTAGTTGAAGTCGAATCATATTTATTCGAATTAAAGAATCCGAGAGCGACAGTAGAACCTTGGTCTCAGGTTTATCACAAATTGGAGCCTGGGAAAACAATGAGTTTTAAGATCAGATTTGTTAAAAAGGTAAGTAGAGGAGGTGCAGAGGCTAAAAAAATTGTTCCATTGCACCCGTTTATTCTCAGAATCCATAACACACCCATTGAATAATAAAACGATTGATATTTCAGCCAATATTTGAATCTGGACAACATTATGACAACGAGGGACTAAATAAAAATCCGGAAGGGTGGCTCAATGTCTATCACACAGCAACTTCTATCAGTGAAGATACTGACCTGGAGTGGGGGTTTAGTGAAATAGATAATGATGGGCGCCCTGTCTCGCCGGGACGCAGAGTTATTCAAAACGGAGAACTTAAATCATATGCTGGACATGTTCAAATGAAATTGATATGTGAGAAGGAGACGGAATTGACCAAAAAGATAAGAGAGAGAATCGGAAAAGATTATGAGGAGCCGAAGAAAAAGTGCTCTATTATGTAGATGTTTGATTACTAGAATGAAAGATTTTATTGAAGTGTACAGACAACAAAACACTGTTTAAAGCTTTCGGATTCCTAATATCTGCAACATCAAAATGGCTAGATTTCAATAAGAAATTGAATTGCACTAGAGCTGATTTCCGGGATGCAATGCAGAATTCCTAGGCTCATGTTAGCGTAGTAACCTCCTTAGGGTTATCGATTTCTAGATTCCCAATAACACAATGCCCGAGAGACTTATACGGATTGGCCTCCATCGAAAAGAAATGAAGAATTTATTGATTTTTTCTGACAGTTGGTTCTAAATCTTGATGTATCCGAAGCAGTAGAAGAGGGCTGTCATGTTCATCAGAAGTCTCAGTCTTTCTTTTCAAATCGAGATCTTTTGTTCTCGTCGTTGAAGGAGATGATCCTGCGCCATCCTCGACTTCTCGGGTTACTCAGAAAGAATCAGATGATGAAAACGTTAACTCGGGACCATCGGGTCCCATACGGGCCCTGCTTCCCTCTTTTGGGACTTTGATTTCCAGCGTGAGACCAGTCTTCTCACTATGACTAGTGATTTGCTCAAAGGAAATCCGGAGTGTCCGGAAAGAGCCATGAATTCTTGTTTTTTTTTCGATGCGAAGTTGATATATATTCTCATTTTGATACAATGAATTTTATACATACACATAGAATATCTATGAAACGTTGTCATAAAACAGTCTGAATAAATACTTAAAGACATCAATAGGAATAATAGACCCGAGTGGAAATTGAAAATCAATGGAATAAGGAAGGATAAGGAAACAATATAATTTAAGGTGTCTCATAAGAATCATGGATCAATTGGACTTCATGGCAAAGGTACTGACTTGGGACAACATGTAGGACTTCCATCAACTGGATGTTATCCGAAGTGAGGTAGACAAGATTCTGGAATAGTTGATTTTTTGAGGAAAGGTTACTTTCGATTAAACCAAAGCTGTCGAATGACAGCCGAGGCATTTTTGAAACTAGGGAACCGTCCGGAATCCGACTAGTTCTTGGGCTCTGAAGAGTTTTTTTCTTTGTTTTAGAAGCCTATTTTGAGGATGACGCTAACTATAAATAGCCTAGAAAACAAACGGCCCAAACGACAACCATTGGAGCAAAAATTGATTTGGATGTGTACCGGAAAAAAGCTAACGAGTTTTCTCGCGGTAAATTTTTTTTGTACGTACAATTTTTTTTCGTCTTCTACGCTCCATCTCACACGGGTTTTTACAAATGTCATATTGCGCCTTTAATATCTGAAAGTAAGCCGCGCTTAAGCCGAAAGAGCGCGCACCATGTTTCCAGAGCACTTTTCAGTAATAAATTTCGATCAAATTCTGTCAATATTACATTCAACATGATGCGGAGAAAAATTTCTATTCAATTTGATTCAAAAAAGTTTAGGCCCTGATTTTTAATTTTTCAACAAAATGAGAAAATAGCCTACGTATCGCTGAGAGAGTAGTGCTCAAGATTCTAATTGAACTGTTGGTTACTCCAACTGTTTTTTTTTCCAATTTGACTCTATAAAAATGCCTACCGTAGTCGCCGACAACAAAATCATCATCTTGGCAATTCTGACAGCTGCTTGACTTTCCGTCACATTCGATGCCTCATCTCCACTCTCCATCGATGGTTGCTCTTTCAAACTCTCTCCATAATCTTTCGAGTTGACATGATGATGAAGCATTCTCACAAATCGATTTCCCACAGTTCTCACATGATCTTTTCCAGCTTGAGATAAATCCGGAAGTTCTGTAACCTCTGAAATAGACAATTCGAATTTTACTAGTCTACCACTAGCAGCTAGATTCTCTAGAAGCTATTCGATACCCACCATCACTGAACAAGATCACTGCCAACATAAGGACCACTTCAGTCTCGTCGAGTTGGAGCTCTTTAATTGGGAGACTCAAAGATTCATACATCCGACTACTGGATCCTTTCACATCTGGGATACATTGAGCTTCTATCTGTTTTGGAAAATACGCTCCATTGGAATAACAGACACCTTCACATCCAGCAGTTACAGTCCAATTTGCACATAACCACCAATGAAATGGTCCGTATCGATTTTTCGCGAGCACAATTTGATCTTCAACTGACAACTGATTGAACTCGGGAAGAGCACGGAGCCAATCGGAGAAGAGCACAAAATTCCTTCTCCATTCATCCATCACATCTTGAACTGTGGCTATTCTCTCTCCAGTTATCACTAATGGAGTTCTAGGTGACATCATTCCGGGATTGAAGAATGCATTCATAAAAACAACTTTTGTCGCTGATGATGCTTCCGTTTCCATTTTGATCTCAGGTTCCTCTTTCTTCACAACTGGATCCACGTATGAACATACTGCTCTATGCATTTCTACCAGTTGCTCTGAAAACCTTGCCATTTCTGCTTCCATACTTGGTAGAGGAGGCACTGTTTGATCCATTGGTTTCACGTCATCAACATCTGTTTGAATCTCAACTGAACAGGTATCCGGAGAGGAAAGATCCTTGTAATCATCCTCTTCCACATCTTGGTTTTGATCCGGAGACCCTTTTTGTTCTCTTTCCGATTGCACTGCTCGCGGATTCATGCCAGCGACAAAGCACTGTTTCAGCCGGCATGCTCGGCACACGTTTCGGTGTTCTGGAATATAATTTTTTCAGTTTTCCTTGGGCAGCGCAATTTTCAAACATTTTTGATGCGAGTTTGATTCTGCCAGTGCCGCGTCGTTTTTCAGTTAATTTTAGCTGATTCAGGCCGACTTTGAGCATGCGCAATTCAGCCAAAAATTATTATACGGCTCTAGAAATTCTTGGGTATATCAAACATAGCTAGAACTTTGTTTTAGTGGTTGACAACTTTTTTGTGAAATCACTCTCCCGGTAGTTAGAGGTCGTCCAAAAATACCATTTCAGAAATGATTTCAAGGTTTTTTCCTAAATCGGCTCTATTTGCCGGCAGAATGGCTGCACAAAAAAGTTGTCAACTACAATAATGAAGTTCTAAAATTTCCCCCGTTTGGGAGGCTTAGTGAAGAAATCATATCTATCATCTTCCCCACATTCGATTTCCTCTATCCCCTCCCTTTCTAGTCATTCCGCGCGTTGTAACCTTCTTAAATCAGAGACGCACATTTTTCAGACTCAACGACCGGGTGGCCGAATGGGGAGAGGCGAGAGCGCACGCTCAACGGGCTAGACCCAATGCAGGTTCGAGTCCTGCCCCGGACGGAATATCTTTTTCTCTTTTTTAACTTCACTTTTACATGTTTTAATCGTAGGAAGCTCACTTTACTGACAAAAATGTGTTTCTGGAATGTTTCAGTTGACAAAAACCGTCTTAAGCAACGCTCAAAAAACTTTAAGCCGTAGAAGGTTTCTCGACCGTGTGGCGCATGCTCAAAGTCAGCTGAAAAAAAAAACTGGAAAACAGGATGTTCGTATATAAACCCATAAACAATGCCCGAGGCTCATACAAGTTACCTGGGATCCCAAAGCAATTTACGTTATTCATGGTTTGGCTATTAAAAGCCTTCCATATTTCGAGAAACACCCGGGACTCATTAAAACCGATTTTGCTCCAAACTCTGTCGTCAGGACCGTGTGTTTTCTAGGCGTTTTAAATGTTAGATCAATCAGTTTACCATCAAAATAGGCTTCAAAAATAAAAAAATCAGCATTTCAGAGCCCAAAATCTAGTCTGATGAGTCCTGAAGAAAGTTGTTTGGGTCCCGGGTGTTTTTCGAAATTTCAAAGGCGTCCCAGTCCCAAATCATGAGCTCCGTATATTTTTTCAGGGTCCCGGATATTATTTTGGGCTCTCGGATCGTCCATGAGTCCCGAAAAAAATACCCGGGGAATGGGTTAGGACTTTCTAAGCTTCCTTATCCTGTATCCTCTGCGTAACTTGTGGCTCAGTAACACTGCTCTTTTCAAGTTTTGCACAAAACTTCACATTTTGAACTACAAAAACTACGTGTGCGTGTGTAGACAAACAAGTTCAAAGAGTTGTTTCTTGCGTACTTTCCAGCAAACAGCAAACAATAAATCACATTATTTTGTGACTGCCCTTCTATTGCAGATAGACCCCTTCCCTTCGGTTTTCTCACCTTTTGCAATAGCGCATCGCCCCTCAAATCGACACAAGTACTGGCGATTGTTCCAAACACTGCAATTATAAACATCTTATATATGCCTTGAAAAGGGAAAGAGGAGACATCAATGATACAAAAGATCATATGATCGAGAAGAAATTGAGAGGAGGAGGAGGAATAAACACATTTCGGTCTCACTTTAAGAAGACTCACGTAGCGACAAAAGGAGAAGAGATAAGGATTGGTTTGGAAGAATATCATGGAGAAGAAGTGATCAAATTGAACTTTCTCTCTCTCTCTCTCTCTCTCTCTCTCTCTCTCTCTCTCTCTCTTTGTTCCTTGTAGTGGTTTGTAGTGAACTATAGTCAATGATTCGTGATTTGTAAGAGACTATTGTCTTCTTTCGGAAAATATGTTTTAGTCGGAAAGTGCAGAACTTGTTAAGTGAGTGACGTAAAAAATTGGGTATTGAGAAAAAATTAGGGTCTTCTAATATAAAGGCATGCCAAATTCTGGAAAGATTGAGTCGGGGTTCAAGTGATTGCTGACTTTTTCACTCAAAACTGCTGTTTCCGTAAGCAACACGGTTTTTTTCCCAGTACTATATGTTTAGAGCAGCATATCTTGTTCGCCTTTAGAGCTATCAAAAAGTAGTCAACTAATAGAATATTGAAAATGTTTTGCTTAACATTTCTTCAGTTGATTACTTTTTGATAGCTTCAAAGGCAACCGAGATATGCTGCTCTAAACGTAGAGTACTGGGTGTGCTTACAGGATTAACGGTGAAAACTCCAATTTTTTTTTTGAAAAAGTTAGAACTGTATTAAAAAACTTTTGCTGGAAACATGATATTTTTTGCTTGCGAGTTTTTCGTCGGGCTAGGCCTTGCCCGATTCGGACAAGTATGAGATAAAGAAATTGGAACTTGAGCTGTCTGGACCGTTGGACCAGCGCGGCCCAGTTTCCAATTTGAATTTTTCACAGTACCAGCCAGAGTTGCCCGGAATTCCGACTTTCGACTTCCGACTTCCAACTTCCGCCCGAGCGATAATTTTTAGGCGGAGGTCGGAAGCAAAAATATAGTCTAAAAATCAGATATAAAGCTAGAAAGTATCTTTTTTGTAGTCAAAAAATAGAGGAAAACTGCGAAATTATCAAAAAAGTCGAAAATTTCAATGATTTTGAGCAGTTTCTATGAAAAACTTTACTCGGAGATCCGACTTACACATTTTGCTCCATTCTCTAAGCTCCAAAAGTCTTCGCCAGTTTCCTACTTTTTAATAAAAGTTCAAAAATCCTCACCATTTTCTCGCTAACCCACCTATTCATAACCGTGTTCCAAAATACTAAATTACGAGATTTGTAACCTTTAAATCCAAATATCTCTCATAAATACCAACTATAAACCACGGTTCAAAAAGTGTGTTTGTGTTTTGTGTCATCCCACACTTTTTCGATGTATCATAGCTACGATTTTTGTGTTTTTTGTGTATTCGAAAAACCCGTAAAACCGTTTCTTGAAAGACATTTCGTATTGAAATTTGATGCTGACGTCCAAAAAAGGAGTATGTGACTTTTCTAAAAAATTTCAACTGTCAATTTAGGAAGCCGGATACTGAAAATTAGGGTTCAAGGAATTAGAACTTTTCAAAACAAAAAAAATAAAAACTTGGGACCTTACACTGTTTTTTTTTCGAGTTGCTAGTTATATTTTTTTAGTTTCCCCTACCCTTCTGACTGTGTGTCATTATCAATTTGATCACCAAATTATTCTCCAATCACTGATCTTATCATCCATGTTCGATCCCTTGATCGTTTAACCTTTTACTACTCATGAATACATATTTATTTGTATACAGAGACCCCCTCCTCCTCTCTCTTTGTTTCTCTTTTAAAAGTCTTCTCCTCCTTTCCCTTCCTTTGAATCCAAAAATCAAAAGATCAAAAAATCATCTACCTTCGACGGAAGAACCCTTTGCATCCATTACAGGCGTTCACTCCGTAGTGTTTTCCGAATGCTTGATCACCACAAACAACACATATCAGATTGATTGTCGAGTTTTTGCGACGTCCTCGTCCGTGACCTGGAATTTCAATGGTTTCAGATTGTTAGAAATTGTTTGTGATACTTGAAAATTTATATCTCAGTTTTAACCGGTACCTGGGAATTCATTTTTCGCATGGGTTACGAATTTTCTAAAAACTTATGTTCTGAAAGTAGATGTTTTTGTGAGTGAATTCTGAAGTTTCCAGCCCTCACTGGAGCATGAGAGTCTGGAAATCTTCCTTATGAATATCTGGCCCCGCCCCCTTATTCACAATGCATTATTGACGTGGCAATTTCAGATTAAGATTTCGAGACTTTCAGGATTTCAGGATTTTTAGAAAATTCCTAACCCACGTGAGAAAAACATTCCCTTGTAAGATAAGATGTACCAAATGAAAGACAGTTTTGGTCTAGGATTCATCAACTCGGTCCTCGCGATCAAATTTCAAAAGCATCGTAAAATCTCACGGTAACACTCATTTGAACTGTGTCTTGCACGTCATTTTTGTGGCGAGATATCCCGAGACGGAACTCAGGCCAGAATTTTGACTGGTACAGATTTTAATAAAAGTTCAGACGCATCCCTAAATGTGCTATGACTCTTGTGAAATGAGACTCATTTTCAAAAATCAAGAAGATCAGAACCTTTGCGAACTCCTAGAAACCTACAGTAACCTCAAAACAAAAATTTTTAGCCCGTCTGTAGACTCCAAAAGCAGGTAAATAATAAAGATCGGAAATTGCAAATTTGAAAACTTTGACATTAAAAAAAAGTTTGCCACGTCAATAGTGGAATGTAAATAAGGGGGCGGGGCCAGTCTCAGGCTCCAGTGAGACCTGGAAATTTCAGAATCCACTCACAGAAGCATCTACTTTCAGGTCACCAACTTTTAGGAAATGCTAACCTTTTTGAAAAACAAATCCCTTGTGAACCAATTTTTCTCTGTATATATTTTTGTTTACTCCATTTTGCATAGTATATCTAACAAAATTATCAACTTTCCAATCAGGAAGCTCTCCAACTAAACTTCCAAAAATAAGAAACTTGAAATGCACTTTTGTACATTGAACTTTGAACAAGAGTCTAGTTGTTTAGTTGGTCTAATGACCTCCTTTCTTCCTCCTCTTTCTCTTCTAAAAGTACGTCATCAACACTTTCTAAAAGTGTCCAAAAACTGTTTGGCATATTTCCAAGTATAGAAGAAGAGACACAAAATACGATTGCCGCATGAATTTTCAAAAATCAAAAACGTTTAGTAGTTTGAACTTTTGATTTCTTCCGTCTCCTTCTAAATAGACTGCTGATTCTCACGCATTTTAATTCGAAGAACAAAAGTTTGGAATGGAATCGGATTACGGTATCAATGATACAGTATGGAATAAAAATGACGAATTCGAATGGATCAAAATGGTCAAAGAGGGGGAGATCAGGGACAATAAATTTATGATTTTGGATCATGGGAATCGCCATAAAAATGAGATTTTTGAAAACTTTTTGATGTTGAAAAATTGGAACTGAAGTTTCTGGGAAGAGATGTTTAGGAAGGCTTCTTTTTATTGGTATTTTAGGTTAGGGTTTCCAGTATACAACAAAAATTGAGGGTATAAGAACTTTGGAGCTTTGGAGCTTTATTTTTTTCTAAAGTTTTTGGGTCCGGCACAAAAAAATTCACACTTTTTTCGTATTTTGGGGATTCCTTATAACTAGAAATGTCAAAAAACTTGAATTCGCGCCCATCGGTCCGAGCCGGGCCAATGAAAATTCTGGGCCGCGACAATTTTTGAAAGGGGGTCCGGCCCGGCAGCCCGGGTTCAGAGCTGCATATCTGAGTTGTCTTTGAAGATATCAAAAAATTTTCAACTAGTAAAATGTAGAAAATTCTTTGTTTAACATTTCTCCAGTTGATTACTTTTTGATAGCATCAAAAGCAACCGAGATATGAAGTGCTGAATAGAGCCCGGCACTAAAAAACTGAGTCTCCATCGACCAAAAAGGTTACTCTGTTTTCAGAGCAGCTTATCTCGGTTGTCCTCAGAGCTATCAAAAAGTTTTCAACTAGTAAAATGTTAAAAATGTTTTGTTTAACATT